AGGGCGGCCAAAAATGAGGACAGGAGCACTCGAAAATTTTGTTTTTGTAGGCAAGTCCACGAAATTGAAGGTCAAGCGACAGTTTTCGACAATTCCATCTTGTCCCGTGTCAACATGCCCCTGCCCCCCTATGCCGCGAAACTCCCACATCCAGCCGTGAAATTGTAGTCCCTTGCAGCCCTTGCATGACCCGACCAGAAGGTTGTAGCAACACTTCTCCGAAATGCGGAGTTTCCCAACCATAGAGAACCGTTCTTGCAATGAGAATACTCTCTTTTCTGAAGAGACACCGTGAGATGGAGTAAGCCGCCCATCGCAGCTGTCTCAGCTGCTCTTCCTCTTTGCTAGGCGAGGCCGACGACACAGCTCGGTTAGGTGCCAGCCAAAATATGCCCGAGCAGCCATCATGAAGCCACTGGATGCAAGGTCCAGCAGTTCAATTACCAGTTCATTACTTCAAAAGAATGCATTGAGAAAGGGATGTGCGCAAACACCGACCGCTTTTGGTTGTGAGTAGCAGCGAAAGCGCATTCGTTGACTCGCAAAACTGCGCATAACTTGGTATCTCAAGTGGCTGGTTTCCCGAGGCCCCTCCAAGCCATTGCTGGCCCTGGAGATGTGCGTAATTTCCGAACGTGCTTGTGTGGTCAGACTGTCCACTGCTGACAGACGTGTGTCGGGCGCACTGAGCATGGATCAGCACCCTCAAAACATTGCCGCAATCAAGACGCGGCTTGGGCCTTATCTCAGAAATGCACCCTCTCCAGTCCCCTGAAGGGCTTGAGCTCGGATAGGAGGTGACACGAACCCTTCAGTGACCATATGTTCAAGTCACCTTTGCCGACCGTTCGTGCCACGTTCACATCTACTTGAATCTACTTCAGCGAGCAACGGCCGGACATTGGTGGCACCCGAGAAAGATGCAGTCCAAGCGTCTGGAGATGACAGAAGATGTGCTTCGCACCCACAATGCCAAGAGGAAACCAGTCTTGGCATGAGATGTAGCCTGCAGCGCACCTGCTTGGTGCCCGGCGAGGCATGGCACAACTGTGCATGCCGAGGCGCCGCGACACGACCACCTGTGGCAGACTATGCCCCATCGAAGCCTCGGTCGACAACATGGTGTGAAAACGATGGCTCATCATGAAGTCCCGGGGAACAATTTGACTTGCAAACCAACCTGCTACTCACTCCAGTCTGCACTAGGACACTTTGCCTTCCTCATGACAATTGGAGCGTTCATTTCCGGGAGTTATTGGGCTGCCCTAGGTCGTGCCGGTAGTGCATTGTTTATGTTCCACGGCTTGTGGGTGGTGGACTGGTCTGCGGGATACCCCAACCCCCGTGGCTACAGCACCAAGCAAGTTAGTTCAACTTTGGTGAAGTGCAAGCTGGCATGGATTTACACAACAAGCAACATTGATTTTCAGGGGCTTCAAAAATGACCGCGTCTTCTTGCAGTTCACATGTATCTTGAAGAGATTTGAAGAGGAAACAACGCGGCGGTATGCTCAATGTGCAGTGCCCCGTTTGTTTCCCATGAGAGGGAAGCCTACTGCATCATGTTGAAAGGGATCATCAGACAAGCGCAAGGGCCCTACCTAGTGCATTGGATGCCGTGCTGCGACAAATCACCATAGAGATCCAATCCAAACTGTGACCGTCCAAAAGTCCCCACGCCACACCCTCAATCTCAGTTGCCTGATCCCCAAAACCTGAAAGCCTTGAGTCCTCAACCCTGGAAGTCATCATCGACAAGGCCCGTACTTTCATCTCCAGCCACTATCTTGCGCTTACTATCGGTGGACTCTCATCCTTGCAGCCCCTCAAACTGCCCATCCGAAGCCAAGCCGCTATCCAGGCTGCGTGATGCTGAGGGCCTGGGCGTGGGACTTGGGTCCATGAACCCAGCTCAGGCTGAAGGATGTGCAGTGAGTGATTGTATGTGTGTGTGTGTGTGTGTGTGTGTGTGCGTGTGTGTCTGTCTATATATTTCTATATATATATATATATACATTTATGTATTTATACATCTATATATATACACACATATACATACACGCCCATATATATCTATATATATATAGATATGGATATACATACATACATACATACATACATACATACATACATACATACAGACGGACATACATACATACATACATACATACATACATACATACATACGTAGGTACATACATACATGGAATATATGCACATACACGCGCACTCTCCGTCACTCTGCATATAGACGTATACATCAACTTTATATATACATATTGGTATGACGAACTGCGCATGTAGATTTTTCGTTTAAAGCTTATATCGTACGCGCAAGTGTACTAGGAACAACTAGTATATCTGTACAGGATCTATGCAAGTATCTATGTGTGTATGTAAGCGTGTATGTTGCTTGCATGCCCAGTACACCTTCCTTCCTTGTCTCCTTCCGGACTTCCCTTCCTTTCTTGCGTCCTTTCTTCCTTCCCTGTTTCCTTCCTTGTTCCTTTGCCTCCTTTCTTCCTTCACTCCTTCTGTCCTGCTCTCCGTCCCTCCTTCCTTTCTTCCTTCCTTGCTTCCCTCCTTCCTTCCGTCCTCTCTTCCTTCGTTCCTACCTTTCTTACTTCCTTCCTTGTTTCCTTTCTTTTCGGTGGCATAATTTTGTTGATCCTGACTTTTTTAGCTGATCCCTATCCCTACCGCAAAGAAAAAGCAGAAAACCAAAAGCAGCAGGCAAACAACAAACACAACAGAAAGCAAACACACACACACACACACAAACAAACAAAAGCAATACCAACAAAAACAAAAAACCTCAGATCATTTGGATTCCTTTCTTAATCTGGCATAAGGGAACTGGTGGTCGAAATGGTGTACAAACTTGGGCCCCGCTTCGTTTGTAGGAGATAAGCATTGATTGGGAAACCGTACTGTCAACATATGAAATGTGATAAAGCATGTGGCAAGTGCACTAGCGCAAACGAATACGGCAGTCTTCTGCAGCAGCTTTATGAAGGGTCTAGACCGGAACATATTAGGAGAGTTGCAATATGCACCGAGTTGTGAAGGCAGCACCGTGGCATCAGCGGCATGGAGCTCATGTCTGCTATTGCGTTTTTCGGTTGAAACATTGAGATATTTTGTTTCGGTTCTATCAGTGTCGATTGCGTCACTGCAGCCACCCCCCAATCTGACTCCGACTTCTCTGCTCGTAGAGAAGCCTCCCGTCGTCCAACTAAACGATGGAGCCGGTGCCTTCCGTTTCGACAGCCGTGATATTCTGAACCTCATGGAAAAATGACGCACAAGCCCTTACAGCCGCTGGTGCTCTCGTTGTTTCCCCTTTCCGATGAGCCTCTCTCGTCGTCTGACTGCTTGCAAGGTGCTCTATCTTGAATGCCGGTCTACACATGGGGTCATCTGGTGCCACCACGCAATAATGACATCAGTTGCACGCAACCCAGCGCCACATTGTGAACATGGTGGGGGGGCTGGAGAGAGCGGGTCCATACGCCTGTCAGCTCAAGAAACTCGTTTTGGAACCACCTATACTCATCCAACTAATGCCTCCCGCGCCCGTACGCGCACCTGACTAATCTGCCTCTTCGGGGTGAAATTGCTGAAACGGGGATAATTACTGCGCAGTTTCGTGCTGCCATCTTCCCTGCACTTTGCACAATCCCTCACATGACCTCGACAGCAAACGCAGAGTTCAGTGACAAGGGACCAGAAAAAAAGGGCTGGCTCGCAGCCGCCGAGCAATCGTACCCTCTCCACTCTTGCAGCAAAACGCCCACCAGCAGAATTGATAAATATCAGAGATGACTAGGATTGGATTGCCTGTCGCACGCTTGAAATTGTAAAGCTACAGATGGGGGGGCGCGTGAAAATGAACTCAGAAAGACTGGCGATGATTGAAACGCATCGACCGATTGGGAACGCTGAGCTGCCCTGCCCTCAAAAGCTGGAGAAACATGATCGAATGAAGGAGCGAGCCATGCCAGGCCTGCGAGAACGTAGTTTATCTTGGTGTCTCGATGAGTGTTGGTCAACAAACATACAAAAGTCAATCGTAGCTGGGCCCCAAGCCTCACGTGCAGTCTGCGAGCATTCATCCGGTCCTCGCCCGGCAAATGGGCGAATCCTGAATGAAATGCAGGGCCGCCGGCTTCTGTGTAAGCCAAACTGTCAAACGTAAAGCCCCCGGCTCCTATGACTGCAAAATACTGCAAACGAGCGATGTTCAATGCATGCGGATTCCAACCGAGTAATCATTGTAAATACGAGCGGCTATGCGCAGTCCAGCCATCCAAAACGTCACAAGTCACAGCCGCAACATAAGTACCGCACATGTTCTTGGGCGACCAGGCACTTAACAAACCAAGCACAACCCAAATCTGCAGGTCCCCTGCTGCTCGGCCATTTGGTTCCTAGTTTTTGCTTCGAGACTTTTGGACCTGCCCCGTGTGCACTCGTGTTTCGGCCTTGCTTGCCTGCAAGGCCGTGGTTCTTCCTCTCTCTCCCGCTCCCCCAATTCACTTCTCGGGAAATTCTTGCTTTGCAGACCGGCACTTCACACTTCCAAGGGCATTTTGGATCGAAGGAGGCATGAAGCTGCCAAGAAAAGCTCTTCCGCAAGACTCTTCTGCCCTGCTGTGCCTCCACCAGAAGACTCGCCCCAACATGGCAATCCACAGTGCAATCCACTTTCTAATATGAGCAGGCCGGAAAGACATGCTGGTGATGCCTGCAGGCGCTGCAAGTGAGCTGCGGACGGTAAGACACAAGCTTGTCGTCCCTGGCATGCGTTTGAATTGTGGTTGGGCCGTTGTGCGTTGAGGTTGCTCAGCCGGCTGATGCACAGCATCCAGCTGAGCTTGAGCAGAAAGCTCCGCGCATTGATTGGCACGCCACTTCACGGGACTGTGGTCCAGTCAGGAAACACTCAACCCCAGGCAGCCCTGCTCTTCGATACAGCAGCGGGCTACAGCTGGGCTGACCTCGAGGGATGTTCGCGTGCTCTGGTTCTGGGCACCTCGAGTCTGTGGAACAAGCAAATTTATGCTTGCCAGACTGAGCTCGACAAGCAGCTACATCATTTGCAGCAACCGTTTTACACTTGCCTTGCAGAGATGTATATGCTGCAGGAATCTGCAGGATTGCAGACTTGCTGGCAACAGAACAAGCAACCGAGCGTTCAGGAGATTTTGTAAGGACTGTGCTAACTTCTTCTTCCAACGTCTTGGAGATCTCCTGTTTTCAAGAAGGTTGCAGTGCTTCTTGCTCCTCGTCAGCAACACTTCAAGTGCTGCGCGAGAAAATGCTTCGTGATCGTCATCACCCTCCAATGTCATCATCATCATCATCATCATCATCATGATCAGCAGCAGCAGCATCAGCATCATCAGGTGAGGACAGTGCTAAGTTCCTTTTCCTGTGTCTTGAAGATCTCCTGCTCGTAAGGAGGTTTGCACTGCATCTTGCCCCATGTCAGCAACAGTTTAGAGCAGCCGGAAAGCCAACTGTCTACCAACCACAACATCGGCGAAGCTTCGAGCTTTCTCGGATCGACTTTGCACATTCGACGGGCGCCAGCCCCTCCTGCTCTGCGCTGAGAGCTGGCGTAGTGTCTGTTGGCGGCAGCTGCACCTCGCAAAGGCTTTCAGTCTAGGTGCCATCATAAGCTGCTGCGGAACAGAGGACAGCACAGAAACCGGAACTAGCCAGTGTGCCACTCGATGCCATACTGAGTCTGAGGCATCTTCCGAGTCCTGGCTGCAGCTTGCTTGTGAAAATGCTCCGTTATCGAAAGCCCTATCGATTTCGGACGCCAGAGATTATAGCGGTGGGAAAGGACGTCTTAGCTTCGCATCTGCTGTAGCGTTCCGTAGTGTTCTACAAGTAGCTCTTTTCTCGCTGGGTCTTCGAGCAATGGGTCACCAAACCAGGAAGCCCCGAACAAGTCGCCAAGCTAAAGCCTTCATCCTGCCTTCGATTGCAAGGAGGAGGCGATGCCAACCTGGCATCCCAGCTTGGTGCGGTGCAACTGGCACAGGTTCGGCAGCATATGGTATTCCAACAAGTCTACGAGTAGGGTGGCCTGTGACTGCTTCGCCTGGATGTCATCAGCAGGTGCTGGCCTGCTTGGTTGGGTCTGGTGACTTGTGTCAATTCTGGCACAACTTGGAGAGTGCAGTTGCAAAAACAGCTTGTATGTGACAAACATGTCTAATGCATTTTCATTGTCCAACACGAGAAGATATGCAAAGCACCATTGCGTAGACCTACAATTTACAAGTTGCCCTTCAGACAGTCACAACAGTATCACAAAGCTCAGGGCTCAGACATCTCGTATGTTCAGCGATACTCCGAGTGCCCTTCCCGGCAGCCTTTGCTCCGACGACATCGCAGCCTTCGCCTAGACACATCGGGCAAGGCTGTTTGCATCGAGGCCTGATGTTCTCGCATGGCATTTTCTGCACTGGTTTTCTCACTTTCCGAAAGCATTGCAGGATGTGCCCGAGAGAATCTCCTTGGCAGATTGCTTTGCTGCTCCACGTGGCTTCTTCACCTGCAGCTGAGACTGAAAATCCAGAAGGGCTGGTGCTTGCCCCCCACAGTTCATGATTCATGGAATTCCACTGGCATCCACCCGCCTTGGGAGGGTGCCCAAATTGTGGTCCTGGCAGATTCTCAAGCTCTTGTGTCCTTGGTTATGGCGAGGGGCACATGTCCGTTACGAAGGGGCGCGATGCGGAAGTGTGCAGATGCTACATAGTTCTGTCACAGCCAAGGCCTGGGCAGCTTCAGCAACTCCTTGCATTGCACGTGGAAGCCTTGGGATTGCAGGGGGTTGGCTGATCCAACAGGCAAGGCGACCAAGTGTCAGCTCAGCTCCAGCGCTTATGAAGTGCTTTTGTCTTCAAGCGCCAGCGTGGGTCTCGGGAGCTAAGTGTCCCTTTGCAATTACCATCCATTTGATGAACGCCCCGGTTGCCTGCTCTTGAAGTAGCCCTAGCTGCTGATGAAAACGCAACATGCTACAACTAGATGCAAGACAACTCTTTAATGCTGACCTGGCGTTCATACATAAACAGTTTGCAGATGCCACTCGTGGGTCGGAAACGGAGAAGAAAGAGTGCCCTGTCTGGCAAGTTTGTTACAGAGGCTCAACTCATACGTGCAAGTGTTCCTTGCTCACGGCTCCTGCAGGCATCTCGGAAGCAGTTTCAATACCAACCTTTCAATTCCCACGCCTGGTACACCACCTTGATGGGCAGCGGCGCGAGGTTGCCACCACCGAAAGTGAAAGTGCTCTCGCCGATGCCCTTACCTTCGGAGGAGACGCCGTTCTCCTGACTGAAGCCACGTACGCATACAGAAGTTGAAGCACGCTGCGACGCGGGCGGGCCTTCAAGTTCAGGGACAGGGCTGCCACAGGGTCCAGCACTTCGTCATCCATGAACTCCATGAGGTCTTCGAACCTGGAAAGAAACCCTCGTTGTGCCGAGGGCAGGGTTGGAATTGGACACCGGTTTGCAGAGCTGAGTGCTCAAAACATACAAGCATAATAGCAACATCACGAAGTCGATGTTTGCACTGTCGGAGTCCTAAACTACTTGGTGCTTCCTGGCTTTGGCTAAGGTGCTTGATGTTCTTCGCATCCTGGCCGTTCACGGAAGCCACGACCCAACCTTGCATTTTCAACATTCGTGACTGCTCTGTGGCCGGCAGCCCCTTCAGCTAGTACATCATTTCAGCCGACGGATGGAGGGGATGGGCTACATACATTTTCCCGCTGAAGCCCTTCGGCCCTCGTGTGTCCACCCTACCCAGTGGTGCGCGAATGGTGTCAAGCTGGCATGCACTCCACATGCCTGCAACGCTTCGTTCGAATTGGAACTCGGTGTGTGAAGCGAATGTCGCCCTGCTACACTGCAGATTCCGCCCAGCCACCCGGCTGAACGCCGGCCACGAAAGCCTGGCCCTGCGGGTCGCCCGGGTAGCGGGACTCCTGCTTCACCTCCCGCGGATAATGAGCCCTTCCCACACACAACAGTGCACACATCCTGCCACTGCAGAAGCGACGCTGCATGATGCCTCACGGACCACAGCACCGTTGCCGCTTGCCCCAGGTGCATAGCGGAGGACTCCGAAAGGCTTCCTTCGTGGCTGGGCAGCTCGGACTGTGCACGCGGGCATGGATGTGTGATCATGTGACAACACGCTTGACAACTCAGGCTTAAGTCTCGCACACGGCACCTACAAAGTCAAGCTCCTGTCTCGTCCCATGGGTGCCTGCTGCGTAGTGACCTGTGGCTACGCCGTCTACGCATGCCAACAAGACGCTTCTTGAACTCGATCTCGTGGGTGGCACCGGAGGCAGTGTTTGGGTCCATCAACGGAGGGTCGGCATCCTTCGGGCCATTGCGCAGGAGATAGTCAACTCCCACGCGCCGTGCCACTTGGGAGCCTCCCCTCAGCTGGGGGGAGGAGCCCACGAAGGCACCGCCAAGCCGACACGCTGCGAAGGCCAAGCCGAAGGCAGTCACGACGGCACCAGTGACAGAGCGCGAGCGGACCATGTTTGCAGTGGATTTGCAGCCTGGAAGCAAAGTGCACTGTTCGAGCCTTCAGCCAACACACTGTGAATTGAATGCCCCTCTCTTGACAAGCAGCCGACAGCATCCAGAATTGAAGCCCCCGAGGTGGCTGCGGTGGAGCCGGTCTCGTCGTGCCTCTGACTCCTCCGCCGTGGAGGCCAAAGCCTGGCATCCATACTCCCATAACCCTAGCATCCTCGTGCTCACTTCTCTTTCATCTTGCTCGTTTCAAGGTGGGAGCCAAATAAAGAAGCCCGAGTCAGGCACCCTAGTTACCCTAGTTTCTCCATCAGCTTTGGGTTCTGACCGACAGGAACAGATCAAGCCCGACAAATATACTCGGCCTAGCTGGGGATTCCACACTGTTAGCATGGTAAAGTCTTGGCCTCGCAGGCTCCTCGGTCTATGTAACGCTATGCACCGCCGCGATAGCAATGTTGGAGTGAAGTCTTCCGAAGATACTCGCGCCACAGAGCCGCCTGCGTTTTCTGAAATTCAGCCATTTTTGGCCTCCACCCCCCGCATCTAGTCTTTTGACGTTTTCTGTCCGTCTAAGACTCCTGCACTGCCGGATTTGTTGGAGTGCTTTGCGGGTACAATCTCACGTTGACCGTTCATGAAACATTAAGAAAGCTTTGAGAAGCAGTGTGGGCGAGAAGAATCACAGACGGATCCGAGGACATGAAGGAGTTCACACTTCGCGTTGTGTGTGCGCACAGGCGCTGCTGTGCAAGGCGCTTGTGTGTCCCCTCGTGTTTTGTTGCCTCTGAGCATTTGCAGCAAGCCCCGTCTTCCAGGGATGGTTTTACGGATACACAGGCCTCCGTCCATATGTGCATACGACTACATGCTGTAATTGACCGTATAGTTGTGCCCATGTGTAATATCTATATATATATATATATATTATCTGTGTGTGTATGTATGTATGCATGTACGTATGTATGTATGTATGTATGTATGTATGTATGTATGTATGCGTATATATAATCACAGATGTACGCATGTATGTATGCATGTACGTATGTATGTAGGTATGTGTGCGAGACGGATACAGGGAACCAGATACTTGTACATATGTATGCATGCATGCATGCATGCATACACGTACGAATGCCCGTAGTTTGCATGTGTGCATGTAATATGTTCTTATATGCAGAAAACTGTATGGGCCTGTGTATAAAACGGAATGTATATATATGTATATATGTTTGTACATACACATGAATGTATGCATGTATGTAGGCACGTCATGTATGTATGCATGTATACATGCATGCATGCATGTTTGCACAATACCGTCACACATGCTACCACATCCATCACCAGCAAATCCAACAAGTCCATTTCGGAAATCACGCTTAGATGCAGTCAAGTAGTATACATGCTGTACGGGTGCACTGCCCCCTCGAAACCCACACCCGCAAACGTATATGGTTTCGGGTACTATGGATCCTGGCATACGCAAGCTCTGCAAACACCGAACACTTGCGCTGCCCGTAACTACTTTCTGGATTCCCTGCACAATGGTGCAACCCGGTACAAGATGTAGCAGTAGCAGAAGCCTGGAATCTTGGTACCATCTGGTACAACTTGTCTCCATTGAATCGGGTTGAGCAGTATTGGTGGTGGTGGTGGTTCGGCGAGTAACAACACCCGTGCACTAAGAATGCAACTGATTGCAGAAACCGGCGAGCTGTGTAGTCGTGGGTTATCGGTGCCGAAAAAACGACTGGGCCTGGCCGCACTCACACGAGAAGGATGTTGACATCGCCTGGCAGGCTCCCACCACCTTAAGGATACCATGACTCTGAAAACAACAACAACAACAACAACGAGATGCACACACGTACCCACACCACACACACACACACACACACACACTTACCTACCTTACTGACTTACTTACTTACTTACTTACCTACCTGCGTACTTACTGACTTACTTCTCACTGGGAAACTGCAACAAGCCCAAAAGATCAAGTCGCTCAAGCACGCCTGCATCGTGTCATACACCCTCTTGCACCTGGGAAGTAGAAACGAATTCCTAGGCTGCTTCGAATCATCACATGGACGGAGGGTTGTCAGACCGACTGAGGGCAAGACTTGTGGCAAACATACCTCGATTAATTCGCTTTCCAGTTTCGGCAGGCCAAGCAGTGACTTTAAAAGAGCCCCACTACGATTCTGCCAGAGCAGCTCACAGAAAGACATCCTGTCCCGGCCGCAAAGCCCTTCTCGTAGCTCTTACTGAGTCTCACTGCTGCCCAGCAGCTGCTCTTGAGCTTGCGCAGACAAGGACATCTCCAGAAGCTGAAACCTGGCGAGATGAACAGCATGGGCATGTCTGGAGCGCAGGACGTGTCGTAGAAATCATGGAGCGAGTGGCTGCTACAGACCTGCCTTACCACAGAATGCGCACGAAGCTTGCAAACGTACCGATATCTTTCGGCTGCGTGTGTGCGGACGAGGCGGTGCAGCTCCCGGCTCGCCTTTGGGCTGCCACTGCAACGGCAACCGGCGATATGCGATAGAATGCCTGGCGTTTGTCTCCTGGCATGCAAAATGGCAGCAGCTGCTCTCATCACCCCGGTCAAGCAGACAAAGGAATCCGATCACGCAGAAGCAGCTTCAAGGAGGACTACATACGATTGCCTGCTGCAACTCGGCCAGATCAACCAATGCGAGAACACACTGTTTCAGCTCACAGAGCAGGCCTCCGTTCAAGTTGGGCGAAACATGACGCATGCACATCCCGGCCTGTCCCTTCGGAGCATTTCTCAAGGATGCAGTCAGGGACCAGCCTGCTGGAAAGTGGAGCCACTCCCTTTCAGCATGACCGTTGTCCGAGCCTAGGCTAGGTTTGAGCTTCTAGACACCCATAGAGTCGCAGTCAACATACGTCAATCGCAGCTGCCAGCTGCGGCAGGCCAGCGTGTCTGAGCATGAGACAATCAAGATTCAGCGGAAGCCACGCCTTCTTTCCAACACTTGCCGCACTTGCCGGTCAGGCCTCCGCCACGTGCGTGTTTTGAGGGACAAGGCTTTGTGTATCCGATGCTGTGAGATGGGCCGAGAGAATGCCCACACATGAATACTGTCCTTCCCCAGCACACCTCCGAGAACAAACAATGTGAATGTGTGTCAAAGCCATCACCTGGTCCCGGGAATCTTGAAAGGACCAGGCAGCTGCAGAGCTCGCGCAAGCGAGACATCCTTCATCATGGCCTGTTGTCGGTACCTCAACGAAATAAAGGTACTGCATAGCAGAGTTACGAGCCGGCACATCGAACAATGGTAGGGGCCCAGGCCACGCATTATTTGTACTTAGCAGCACCCTTTGCAATTCCGTCGTTCAGCCTATACTTGTAAAGAAGCAGCGCAATTAAATCAACTAAATCAACAGAAATCATCGAACCCTGCAATGCGATTCAATGCAGACCCGCCATGTGCCGAACCCGTTGCAAGCTGATCCGTGTTCGTCTCCTGTGTAAACTCTTTTGATGCAGCAGCTCCTTCACAGTGAGTGACGAGTCGTGCAGCTCAGCTCACAGTGGAATTAGCCGGAGCTCCCGGTCCGTACGCAACCAGGCTCCGTGGTTTCATGCAACTTGTGGAAAACAACCATTCTACACTCATCCTACGTAGCATCGACTGTGAGCAGGCAGGCAGCAGTCACATGTCTCGACCAGGTTGCATTGTCTCCGGTTGCATTTGGAGGGCTGAGTGACCTGCCAGATCCTGTCACAAAACCTCGCCGCTAGGACAAAACAATGCCAGGGCTGGTTCGGTAAACGCTAACACTAACGATCGGACGCTGGCTTTCACAGAATCCGAAAATTTGATTGTTCCTCTTCTGGGCAAGAGCCGGCACAAGCACATCGCTCGTGCATCCTTAGCTGGTTTCCTCCAACTTGTGGCACAAGAACGCACGCACTGAAATCACACGAGGTGAGCTGCACGTGAACGACCAATACGAGCACGCTCTCCTCTCCTACAGGTTGGGCAGCGCTGTTTTGACAGAGCCAGGCGTCAGCAAAATTACGGCATCCAACTGGACGGCAGCATAACCATCTCAGACATAGAGCGCCAGGAATGCCGCCATCATCAGATGGTCCTCAGCCTCACTTTCCGGCCTGCAACGCAAAACATAGGCTTCCCAAAAGCTGCTTGCAAACTCGCGCATGGCGCTGCATATGCTACTGGTTAGAACGTTGGCCGATCACTTAACAGTTTCGGGGGTCTTGGCGTTTTTCGGCCATTTACCCCCGCCTTGCCCTCTCGAGCCAGCTGAGAGGCCAAAATACATTTCAAACGGTACGCTGGTCCTTTCGGGCTGACCGGGCGTCGCAAGACTGTCGTACCGGGATGCGGCAGTCATCGGATTTATCTGCCATCTGTTCGTGCAAAACTGCAGAAGCGGAAGTCTGCAAGATGCCACGAATTGAAAAAGCTCGACCATGTGCTTCCAAAGCGGGCTATCCTGGATGCTCCGAAGTTCAATGTTCAATGGAGTCACGAAATGCGTCCGGTGATGTATACAGACGATGATTCTCCTCAACGTGGTGCCTTGAATCTCCTGCGGCACCCCTGCAGTCTAAAATGAGATGTGTTGTCTATTGTATGCTTATATATATATATATACACTTTTGTTCTAGTATAACATATGGTATTGTATACTGGCTATTATATGATAAACAATACGAATTGAATGTATTGTACTGTATTGTATTGAGACCCTTTCTTCTAGTGGTGCCAGATTGTATAAGGTTATATGATGCTACAGTGTACGATATGGTATGATGTTGTATTTCATCCTTCCAACTTCTTTGACGCGATATTCGCTGTACTAAGCATTAGATAGGATACGATATGACATGACAGACGGCATGATGCTTATAGTATAGGCAATAACACATGTATGTATATATATATATATATATATATTCGCGTGTGCATACATATATATATACATATATATATATATTATATTTATTTGTTTATCTATTTACTTATTTATTACTCTATTTATACGCTGCAAGATGTATCAAATACTGAAAACGGAAGATATTTTTATATCATGCAAATCCTTTGTGCTATACGACACAAGTATTTGCTGGCTCTCGTGTCGTAAATGTAAACGAATCAACATATGTAGATATACATATACACACATGTCTAAAATCACAAGAATATAACAATCATAATCGCGTTAACCCTAACAACAAAGACACATATTCATAAAATATTCCTGTATCATGTAACCTGCAAGATGATATCCTGTACTGTACTGTGTAATATGAGATAATATGATATGATAGTGTGGTATATGCTATCCTATTGAATTCTAGTCTAGAATATTTTATTGCGGTATGCAGTTCTGTGGTTTTTATGGTCTGATATGTTGTCACGTAATAACCTACGATATAACACTGTCAAGAGCCCAGCCTTGGCCTTTTTGGCCATCATCTTCTCCCAATCAGCCTTTAGTGCCTCCTGGTATCTCTGCTCCATCTCCAGGAGGTTCTCCTGTCCAATTGGCGAGGTGTGCATGGCCCGAAAAGCTTCAGAGGCCTGGTCTGTTCAGGGATTATGGGCTTGCCATTTTGCTTGCGAGGCCATCCTGGCCCCAAAACCCACACCACCATGACTAAGCAGCTCACAAGCCGGCGGCCTTGGTGTATGGATATTCCACTTCCTCTGCGTCTGCAGGAATCTGTCCTTGATCCTGGAGGTGCGGAGGCAGGAGGACTTCAATTTAGCACACTCATCGACATGGTTCGAGTTGGTCCACATTAGCATGCCTTCATCATTTTGATGTACATCTTCCATTCCGCAAGGCACTCGTCGAGGTGCTTCTCTAAAGGATGAGCCTTCATGTGCTTGTATGCCTGTCGTGATGCTGCACGAGCAAGTCTGACTACACCCATGACTTGCACCACCTTGCAACGGCCTTGAGCTTGTCAGCTTCGGCCAACTCCCCGGCAAGGTCCGGGAATTGAGTCTGGCAGGCATCTCGCAGCGAAAGCCCTAAAGTTGTGCGCAGCACTGACCCGCGCCTGCAAAATAACCATGGTTGCCAGAACATGGGCGCCCTTGTAGATGTAGTTGCACCTGCGGTTATATGCTAGAACTCTGAGAAAATCTGGCTTGCGGACTCAGCAGTTCAGGCAGGGGCTCGTAGTGCTCATCTCGGTTCTGCTTGGGCAACCAGTCACGCACACCTTCCACTCCGCTACGTTTAAATTCAGGAAAATATCGGGGTGTGTGTGTGTATAAAAAAAAAATATATATATATATATATATGCATAGATAGGCAGGGATAGAGAGAGAGAGAGACAGATAGGTATGTACGTACGTACTCTCGTACGTATCAAGGTGCGTGGGTATGCATAAAACAGTATGTATGTATTTATGTATGAACCTGTGATTATGTCTGTTTGTCTGTCTAAGACTAATTGTTCTAACCCTCAACCCTAAACCGTCGCACGTGTTGTTTTTTCCATTGGACCTCTGCCACGAGCGACCATAAGCAGGTAAGTAAGACACAACCAGAAATCCTGACGTATGCTGCAGCTTGTGGCAAGGATGTCATCGAAGCACGTGATGGAGATGAGACAGCTTTATGCAGGCTGCAGTGCTCACAGCTTTTGAGATGAATCAAGATGCAATGCAGAAGTACACCATGGAACAACCAGAGACAGCAGGCTGGGGTTCTACTCCACGAGGCCACAGCAACCTCAGTGATAGTGACGTGGGCTTGGTCGAAGAGAGTGCCCAAAGCATCCGCCAGCTTTGAAACGAATACAAAATCGCAGAAAGCTGTCCGTGTTTTGGCAACCGACTTGACTCTATTGATCTCCTGTTCGCTAAGTATACTTCTGCTGCTGGTGAGTGGGGTCGGTTACATCGCTGCTGAGCCCGTGATCTTGGGATTGGAGGGCGTGCGTGCGTACATTGCACGTATGCGTGTCTGCCAATGAGTCACATACATGCACATACACACTTACGACTTACATACATCCAGACAAAACAAACAACTACGCAGATGCTTACGTGCTTAACTTTGTACACAGTACGTACAGACATACAGTATGTACATGCAGAGACAGACAGACAGACAGACAGACAGACAGACAGACAGACAGACAGACAGACAGGCGGAGAGACAGACAGACAAACAGACAGCCAGCCAGCCAGGCAGGCAGACAGACCGACGGACGGACGGACGGACACACATGTATTCATTTGGTTATTAATTCGTTGATTCATGCATACATTCAGTCACATCTGAAAGGTGAGTTCAAGACAGCTGGGTCAGAGATGGTCAGAGCCCGCCTACGCTTGTACTTACCTTATAAATACACATACATACGAAACCGTTGCATACAGTAACACATACATACAGATACACACATACATAATTGTTGAAGTTGCAGTTGCATTTGTCGCTGTTCATGTTGGTGTTGTTGCTGCTGCTGTTGTTGCAATGTTGTGGTCGCTGCTGCTGTTGTTGAACTTACACTAGCAGAACAAGCAGTAGTAGTTGTAGCTGTAGCAGCAGCAGCAGCAGTAGTAGTCGTAGCAGTAGCCGTAGCAGTAGCAGTCGCAGTAGAAGTTGTAGTAGTAGTAGTAGTAGTAGTAGCAGCCGTCGTCGTACTACTACTACTACTACTACTACTACTACTACTACTACTACTACTGCTACTGCTACTGCTACTGCTACTGCTACTAGTCCTAGTCCTAGTCCTAGTCCGAGTCCGAGTCCGAGTCCGAGTCCGAGTCCTAGTCCTAGTCCTAGTCCTAGTCCTAGTCCTAGTCCTAGTCCTAGTCCTAGTCCTGGTCCTAGTAGTTGTAATTGTAGTAACTAGTCAGTCACCTGTTAGTAAGTTAGTATGTAGCCGTAGCCCATGAGT